TCTTGACGATCTAATACATTTGTAATATTTAAAATCGTTTATGTGATTGATTAATATTATATATACTAAAAACCAAATGCTCCTAGTGGCTCATCGATAAGCCTGACGGCCTGTAATACTAAATACTAGATTTTGATATCCATGATGAGCACAGCACAAATAGCCCACTGGGTAGCTTTATGCTTAATAACGAACAAACCTGAAAGTTATGGTTTAAATTATTTCCTATATTTTCCGTTTAGGAAATTACGTGCTTTGATACTTTTCAGATGATTAGTTTTTATTTATTTAAATCAAGATGGATACAAAAAGATCAGCTACGAAAATATCTTTCCTATTGCATACTGCAAAAATCTTAAGTTTTACACGGTGCTTGTATATAAGTAATATTTACTCTAGCATTTTACCCTTTATAAAGTTGTTAAGCTATCTGTGCTCGGTCCACCGCGGGTATCGAAACCTGATATCTAGCGTTATAAGCACTGAGACTTACCACTGAGCCACATGAGGGGCTTTATAACGAACTTGATACTTTCATTAGCTATAAATGCTCCAACAATCTATATTTTAGAAGAATATTAGCTTCAAATAGATGTTTTTAACTTTTATCTGTTTGTTTGTTTCTTTTTTTAATTTCGCGCAAAGCTACACGAGAGCTATCTGCGCTAGCCGTCCTTAATTTAGCAGTGTAAGACTAGAGGGAAGGCAGCTAGTCATCACCATCCACCGCCAACTCTTGGGCTACTCTTTTACCAACGAATAGTGTGATTGACCGTCACGTTATAACACCCCCACGGCTGAAAAGGCGAGCATATTTGGTGGGACGGGGATTCGAACCCGCAACCCACAGATTGCGAGTCGAGCTCCCCTAACCACCTGGCCATGCCGGACCTTTTAACTTTTAACACATGAACATCATCATATATACTTTCCTCTTATCATTGTTTGATCCATTTCTTGTCAGTTGAGTGGTTAAAAAATGCCTTATTAGCGACAACTGAGTATTAATTATTTAGCTTAGTTAGTTGAGCATTGCGTAAGAGAGATCTTGGATTCAAACCTCGTTCACTGAAAATGTAAAAATTCAATTACCATAGAGGAACTGCCATCTGACTAATGGTCATCCCACGACCCTGAAGTAAGGCCTGAGGACGTACGTTGATTATGTTTGTTTATTTGTTGTGAAACACGAAGCTACACAAGGGACACTTTGTGCTGTGCCCACTATGGTTGTCAAAACTCGATTTTGAGCGTCATAAGTCCATAAACTTGTCGCTGAGCCGCTGGGGCGGCACGCGTTCATTATGAGAGGGGGAGAATGTAGTAGTTTGATCTGTTAAAAAGTGCCTGACTAGTAAATACCAGTGGGTTAAATTTTAGCTTCGCATGTGCCAGTTATATAATTCGATAACAAACTGGAGAAACGAAAACTGATTATCATCCATTTATTATTATAACTTCAAGAAATATCTTCACCGAAAGGAGATTAGTTAAATAATATAAAGAAAGTATATATATATTTTTGAAAGTAACTTTGTTAACCCTGTTTGTTTGTTATTTTTCTGGTCTGGATGACAAAAAATCTTTCTTAAGTACATTTGAATTATGAGATATTTGAAATAACATCTTCTGGAAATATACGTATAAGAAGCCCACATGTCTGAAACAGATATTATTACCACAGCTATTTTAAACTCACTAATTCGTATTACAGTAACGTTTGACAGTCACGTGCTGTTTTCTTCTCAACAGGAAAGTACCGCGTTACTAAAGTCATTCGTTTACTGTCACGATAAAGGACAAAAACCTGTGAGAGCAAAAATATAATATTTAATTGGATCAAACATTTGTAGGAATAGAACTGAGATCGAAATCATGCGTTAAAGCGACTATTAAGGACTATGAAAATAAAGATAAAAACGAATTTAAGATATAAGAATATTAGAGGACGCATTAATGTCAGTTTAATTAAATATACGAGAAAGTCTAGACGTTACTCTTAAAAAATAAAATATGTATATTGTAAAAAGAACAAAAAGAGTTTAATATTATTTTGAGTTTTGCTTGTTGTTAAGCACAAAGCTGCACAATGTGTTATCTGTGCTGTGCTCACCACCGGTATCGAAACACGATTTTTAGCGTTGTAAGCCTTTATACTTAACGCTGAGCCACTGGGGGGAGAATTATTTTTAAAAGGTATTGTTGTTGTTTGTTATAAAAAACACAAAGCTACACAAAGAGCTATCTGTACTCTACCTACCACGGGTATCGAAACCTGGTTTCTAGCAGTATAAAAGGTATTGCTGTTGTTTGTTTTAGAACAAATCCACATTGTACTATCTGCTGTGTACACCGCGAAGAATCGAACACCGTATTTTAACGTTGTAAGCTTACCGCTGTTCCACCAAGAGACCTTTTGAAAAGAAATCTTACCTGCTTTTAGCTTTATAATACTGAAACACGTAAATTGCATGGGCGTCCACAGGGAGGCATGAGGACACTTTCCCCCTGAAAAATGAGAACATATTTCTTTATTTATTCAGTATATATATATCCTTGATTTAGACTCCCCCCCCCGGGGGGAAATTTTTGTGAACGCTCATAGTAGAACATATTTTTGTGAATATATTTTTGTGAACACTCATAGTAGAATATATTTATGTGTATAGAGCAATCTCAGATTTATATTGTGTAGAACCAAAAAAAAAAAAAGGTTGTTGTTTGTAACTGTATTTCTTTATAAACTGTCTAGTATCTCACGTTATATCGAACAAGGACTATGTGTTATTCATTGCAAAGCTAAGGAAGTTGACAAGCTGTGATTGATAATTCAAGAATGAAAGCTTCTCTAAAAACTTGAGTAAAGCTTTAAAGTTATTTGGTTATGCCTTCAATCCTATCTCTGATGCAAACCAAATTTTTAGATGGTCTCTTACTAGAAAATAATGCAAAATAAATAATGTAAGTTCTAAATAATAATAAGTATTGTCAGAGCCAGTTTAGAACTAATTATAAATGACTGTATTTTATTTATTAATGTTTCTCTTTCATACATGATTTATCTTGTAAAAGCGATATTTTACTAATTACGTTTTTTTTGCGAGTATGTTATTTATCTTTTTACTTGCAATAAATGCATAGAAAAACGGTAATATTTTGCTTAAACTTTTTTTAAAACATTAAAATGGTCTTACGAACGTTACCGAACTTTGGTTGTGAGGGACATTCGTAAAAGTAGGTAATTGTTATTTCTTTGTGTCTATGTGCCAGGACTGTGTGAACTAAAGAGAACTGTAGTGGGTCATTGAATGTGAATAATTTATTCACGTGAATACATAGGTCGATTTTAAACTTAGTGTCTGAACGAGACAAGGTGGGCTTGCCACGTGCCCTTCTGGTTTAGTGGATTTGAAGCCGATAATCGAGTCACTGATTATCGGGGCAGAAGGGGCACGTGTCCCGAGCAACTATAACTGTTTAACTGGAGGTGGATAAGCCGGCGCACGTGTTGAATAGTAACTGTGTTGATCCGCGCTTCTGAGAGCGAAGAGGGGGTGGTCTACTGAACCCACCAAGGTAGAGAAGTAGTATAGTGACGTACCCTACGCCCTTTCTAGTTTCGTCTCGTGCCACGCTCTACTGGCCTTAGCCCTCATGCGGCCTCTCTCGTCTTTCGTTCTCGCGTAGCTGCGCTGCAGTCGACTAAAAGACACGACACTATAATGTACTTCTTAGTGGCGCATCAATAGTTCAGGTATTCTCGTCGTGGCGGCACGGGTGGATGCTGACGTACAGTAGAGGCGGTAAAATTGAGAAGTGCGAATTTTCAAGCTCTTCCTCTGTCTGCTGAAACCATTTTTTAAAGTCAAGTTCAACGCGCATGACGTGCATGCGAGCCACGAGGACTTTCCCGAAAGCATGACAAGCCTAGTAACATTTGAAGCATGTCTGCGCCGAGGTTGTGGTGCAGTCCTCCATATGTGTTCTCACTCTCCTCCAAGTTCAACGTGTTAAGGGCATAACTATGAGGACCTGTCTCGTCAGCTGGTTAGTGTTGACCTTTCTGATAGCCTGGTGCAGATGGACAGCAGCCAGGACGTGCTTAGATGACCATTTGGACGCTGCTTCCAAAGCACATCTTGCTCCCATCGTATTTCAGGGTCGCCTTGTAAAAGTTTCTTCTGTCGATAAAGTTGCACAGTTTCGTGTCAAGAGACTATACAAGAGCGACGCAAATGTAGCCCTGCAGCAAAAAAATGTGGTGTTTCTGAAATTCCTGAATGAGAACTATTGCGTTGACACTTTTAGGGAAAAGGAACTGAAGCAGAAAAATAAATACATTGTTTTTGCAGCAACGCAAAAGTCGGCGCAGCCCGGAAACCCCGGGAACCAAAGTTTAGTGGCCGTCGCTAGGCCGTTACGGAAGAATCGAAAAATTCACCGAACAGTGAGGAAAGTATTGTGCCAGGGTTGTGGTGAGTTTGTTTACTGTTATTGCTTGTAATTTTACAGAAAAACTATTTCTTCTGTATGTAGTCATACCTGTCAAAAATTAATATTTTTTTGCTTTTTTATTCAATTATTATTCTTTAAAGTTGTTTGTTTGAAGGTCACCTGTTTAGAGTCGTCCTATTCACCAAATAAACGAACATTTTCGCTTATCATTAACATTATTCTACCAGCTATTGACATATAAAAAATGTATAAAGTTATTTCAAAGACGTCTGTGCACACGTGAACGTTGCAGCTATAAACAGATTGGATTAAGATGTTTAACTAAAGTATTCGTTTCAGTAAAGATTTATGTGAATTCGTATTTCTAGAAACGATATGATAAGTGTTTTCACTCAGTCAAAACCACTTGAGATATATTTATTAAAATTAAGCTCTTCAATCTTAAGCTCCGCATGGAAAACCTAATTTGTCATTTATCTTCTGTTTGTTTACGGTTGGTTTATATTTTGTGTTTGAATTGGTATTTTAACATTTGCATTCGCTGTCTGCCTAATAGTTGAACAAAAATGATCTCTCTCTAACATGAGAGTGTTCGGAGTATTAAGGCTCGGAAATCTGCTGTAAAAATTAATTAAAAGGTCACGAGGACGGAGAGAATCTAACTTTAACTCAAACACCTATCAATTGTTATTTGTATGCAGTTTTATAGGGAAACATTCCTACATGACTATTACCACTTCACCTTTTTTTTTAACAAGGAAAATCCCTTGTCTCTTTTTTTTTGTGTGTGTTATAAAATATGTTGTGTTCGATCTATAAATTTTCTTAGTTGCTTTTATCTTTAGTGTTATAAATAAAGTGGAGCCGTATAGAAGACTATTTCAGTGAAATGGCTTGTCAAAATAAAAATGTTCCTCTAAATATGTTACAGTAAACAACCAGCAATATTGATTAGTAGTTTTACTGCCAATGGTTAACACATGTTATGAAACACAACATTTGCTAATTATGATAGAATAATGTTAAAGATTTTATAATCTCATTCCTTACTATAAGTTACATGTGAATCTATATTTTAGAAGATCTTGGTCTAAAAGTTTCATGTTTCGCTATTAATTCAACAAACATAAATCGTGTATGCTGTTCTCGGACGCTTCAATCCAATACCTCCCGATGTCAAGGAAGAATTTAATTTAGACTAGCCTAAGAGAAAAAGATGACGTCATACTGAACTATTATGAACAGATTATGACTCATCCAGGTGTGTGTCGTAATCGATACCTCAAGTTTTTGTTAGATTTTGAAGTGGTAGCCCTCGTGCACCCCTCCGCTGTAGGGGAGATAAGCTGAGACTACACAATTACCCTCGGATGATTTCTCTTAGTCCAGACAACTACTTTGTATGTTTTATACATATTGTTGTTTGTTTTCTCTTTATGTCGTGACAGTCCCTTGTTGAAATTCTGGCCACGTGCTACTGACGTCATGAGACGAAGTTTTGGCTGAATTTATCAACTCTAAGCACATAAAATCTGTAATATTTGCATAACAAAATAAATTCTTATCGCATTGGTTTTTATACCTTTCACAAAAACATCTACACGAAAACTGAGCAGTGTGAGAACAATATCATATTTGATATGAATTAAAACGCAGAAAGTAACCACTGAAAAGTACTAAAGTAAGTTGTTTTTTATTTCAACCCGATCTATTTATATTTCAAGTTTTTCGTTTTTGTTATTTACTGTGAAACTTCTAGGTTAATCAAATTAATAGTTACTTGTTTTTGGAAAAACAAGATAAAACTCTATAATGATGATAACCGGAATGTGGCTGAATCTATACATACTAGATGAAAAGAAATGTCAATGTTTCATAGACTGAGTCCTTCAGAATTATCAGATATAAGCTATTTTTACTAACGAAATTGCATTTGATTACTTGTTTGATTAACCTATTCAAACTTGTGAAAGATTTAATTATTGAGTCATGTGTATACACCGTACGGCTATGGCTAACTTTATTTTAATCGAATTTTATAACTGATAAGCTTTTAATTCATATGTAGGGACTCTTTGAACAACATATATTTATCCCTAAACGATGTAGTTACGGGCATTTTTTATATTTAGATACTTTTATCAGAATTTGAAATGCTTTTATCTTTGTTGAATAAATCAAAACTTGCCTTATGCTGTTGACTAGGTATCAATTATAAGATGTTATAGTGTAGCACTTGAATAATAAAAACTTTGTTTTCAAGATTTCCGAAAGTTCATTAACATTTTTTTTTTTGTTACTGTTTTCCGGACGTGTCGTCTTTTACAGATTTCGATGTATTTGAGATAGTAATATTTATTTATAAGACTTGGAAAGTTTTTCAGATAACATATTTTAAAGTAATATGCGTATGAATTTATAAGGCTTAAGAAACCTTTAAATAACATCTCCGTTTTCGTCAAGGAATCTATAATGATACTTGAAGCTATCATTTGCATTTTCGAAATCCACATAAAATGCACGAGACCCATCTCGTGCTCAATTAATGTATGCAGGGTTTAGACCTAGGAAACTAGGGTTCTGTCCCCCCCCCCCCACACACACCATTATTGGCCCTAAAAAAACCTAAACACGTGTAGAACACTGACGCCAAAACCCCGCACGGCGCAATACATAAATATCTGCCTCCTTTCAGAACAAAATTGGTCTCGAATAATAAAGAAACAAAAAAAATTATATTTCTAAGTATTTGTTTCCGTCAAAAGAAAAAGATTTTATTTATGAACAATGAAATGAAATTAAACAACCGAAAGCTATAAAACAATGTCTTAAGTCATTTTTTTTTGTAGTTCAAAATAGCCTCGTTCTACTTGCTACAAATAACATATAAAAGTATTTAGATTTATTAAAACTCTATCGATGCTTGTACATTTCTAGAATGGGATCATACAACTGCCTCCTCCTCCCAAGTACTTTTTGTTATATATATATATATATATTTATATAAATAATTATACATTATTGATTGAATTCAAAAATTCACGTAGTTTTCATTAACGAAAGTTATTTATTTAAAAGCAAAACCTCTTGCAATTATCTAAACCCCTATTTGGTTGTTAAAGGTTGAGATGAAACGTAGGTTCAAATGTAAAACTATCAAATCCATGTGTACATATTTACAGTATTATTATTATTATTACTACTGTAATCATTCCTTCCGAAAGGTAACAGCAAACTACAATCTTATTACATACTCTTCCCCAAGATATGGTTAAAAACTAAAAATACGTAAGTGCCACAACACGTGCTAAATATAGATTATTTAAGTAAATTATTGTTCTATTGTCTATAATAATAATAAAAATAATACCTGACTCTTAACTAATGCATACATGGCCTAGTGAATTTGATACTCCACTCACAATCTGCAGGTCGCGAGTTCGAATAGCATCATCGGACATTTGCGCCCTTTCAGCCGTGGTGACGTTATAAAGTGAAGATCAATCCCACTATTCGTTCGTAAAGAGTAGCCTAAGAGTTGGCGGTGTGTGGTATTAACTAGTTGTCTTCCCTCTAGTCTATCACTTCATAATTCAACAAACAAACGGATATAAATACATCAACGCTAGCTTGTCTATTACGGCTTTGGTGTATCGTGTTCAGCCAACAGTTTGACAAAGTTTTTCTTCATAAGCATTTAAGGGTTAATTGATACAGTCGTAAACCCTTTTTAGGGTTTAATTGATGCAATATCAAACGATGTATGGTTAAATAAACATAATTATTAAACATTTGTAAGCTCTTCAAATATAATCCACTCTAGTTCAACCATAACGCTCGCTCCAAAACGCAACTTTTTATTCCAATTAACCAATTATGTCAAGGTGGAAATAGCACTAAAGAGACTAGCACACTCATTATGTTTCCTCTCTAGTGGCTTTTAAACCACGTGCCTTCTTTGTACTAGTGTTCTGAAGTTAGGATAGAAGAAACATGTGAAACTTTAAGACAATAATGTAACCCGAGCTAAACTTTAAGAACGTAAAAACAGATAACGTTACGGTATCTTTAGCAAAATGTGTGAATGTGAACCAAAACATTTAATGCCAGCCTCCTTGCTGATTCAAAATTCGTGTATAAAATAATACGGAAATTGGCAGTGACCTTAAGAATTGACTTGATAGTTTGCTATTACGCACTTTTTAGTCTTTTGGCACTTCATCAAAATGCGTCTCAACATGATTTATGTTGGCTCAATAGCTTTTCTGTTTTGTTTTTCATTAAAATACAGTCGAGGTTATCTCAAGTACTAGGGTGTGACCTAAATCTTTTGATATTTGTTGGACATTGTTTAGAGGGACCGTCTAACATTTATTCATATCGTATTAAAATATTTCATACAGGTTTAAGGATGGTAGTAAGAGAATTACAAAAAAAATAATTAATGATTATTTAAAATATTCATGCAATTATTTGGTTAAAGCATCAGTGATTGGGCGAGATGTTGTATGATAAAATCCATATTTGGTGTGAAAGTATTTCATTAACATAGTTTTAGATGGAAAACATCAACAATTTACGCCATAAAATGCAAATAATCTGGACACGTAGAACTTAAAGTATGGATCAGTGTCACTAAATATACAAAATCAGTTTAAAATATTATTTTTCTATTTTGTTTCACCAAAAGTTGCAAATTATACTTGAAATAAAGAGAACGTTTATAAAAACTAACCACTCTAGAGACAACATCAGTTTGAGCGTAATGGAGTGAATATCATTTACTCCTTAAGATATAGACTAGAGTATGCTATAGATTAGCGTTTCTCAATCCATGGGTCGCGACCCAAAATTGGGTGGTCAGAAATCGTAAAAGGTTTTACGTACATCCTTTGAAAATAGATAACGGTTTATTTAGTACCTATTTAGTAAGCTGGGTGTATTTTTGGACTTAGGCTGTTCATCAATGTTTAGAAGTGGGTCCTGAACCACAAAAGGTTGAGAACCATTGCAGTTCAGA